CCTTACCCTTTAAGGATGAGAGGCTTGGTTGGTCAGGTGCGGAATCGAACTGGCAGCATGCTCGTGATGACCGACTTCGCTACCACTGTGCTATCCACACCCATATATATATATACATATGTATATATATATATACATATGTATATATATACCGGTTAGTCGTGAAGCCTCATCAAATCGTCGTCGAGTAGGGGAGAAAAGTTTCTTAAAAGCAACAATATGCTTTGTCTGAAAGGAAAGTAGATCCCAGGATCGACTTTCTATTAACCTCGGCATTGGAATATGAATGTGTCGTTTTCTTGTTCAGCAATCGCGAGGTTTTTAAACAGCATACATTTAATTCCATAGAGAAACACAATACAATACAACGCTAGCAGCTGACGTTTCGGCAGTATCGCCTTCTTCAGTGCCTGGAAGGGTATACTGATATACAATCTACTAGGTCAAACGCTCCAATAACACTTACAAAAAGACGAAAAACTCTATGGTAATTACATGATCAACAGCTTCTCGAAAAACTTACCACTTTTTACGTGACTTCCAATGAGGTAGATTAGAACAGCTGATTATAGTCGCATATGGTTACACCATCCCAAATCAAAAATTGATGCGAACATACGGGGTCAGGTTGCGTGTGACCTCAGGGCATTCATTCCTGATATTCAATGTAGGGTTTTTGGCATTTATCCAAAAAGCCTCAAGAAGTTTTCGCGCTGATGTTTTGGACTCCTGTACAAGGATATTGACTTTTACTTCAAAATCGTCTCCGCTATGCTTTTGTATCCTATGCGTGCCTAGTGGGGTGCTTCGTCTTAGTTTTCGTTTGCCATCTAGGTGTTTTTTATACGGATACGCAAAGGTCTGCCCGTTTCGCCAATATATTCATCTCCGCAATTATTACAATGGATCAGGTATATCATACCTGAACTCATGCAATCACCGTCCCTGCCGGTCCACTGGAGATCCACTATCATTCCATGTCATTTCTGCAACGTGATGACCTAAAGCTTCCGTGTGCACGCAATGGTATCCATTTCTACCTGGTAGGATCTGCTACGCAGTTTGAACTGTATTCTGCATGTTGAAGCGGCCAAAACGCATGAGATCAACTGGCCACTAAGTAGGAAATGGTTCGGAGTTGCTTTCAACAGATAACTTCTGCTTCCTATACCTACATGACCCGTATTCGCATTTTTTGCGGATCCGAGCACTCCCATTTGTTTCTTGTTGTCTTGCAGCCGCCTTTAGCCATTGCTGTGCTGGCAGTTCGGGCCGGCAAATGGCCTTCGCTGCAGCTTGATCTATTAACTTTTATTACTACCGTTTTGAATGCTTTGCGAATCGGATTCTTCCCGGGCAACAGCGACAACACCTGTGGTTGTAGCGAATGCGGGCACATGAAAATGACAAGGGCGATGTGGTAGGCTGAATCTATAAGTATCCACGGTCATTCCGATGGAGTCGTTGAGTACCTTGCCTTTGAAAACTGGATTGGATATATACATCAAAATTTTCTTTCTATTTAACTCCTCACAAACGAACTTGCAGGTGCAGCTTCAGGAGACACGAATCATCTGACAGATTAGGGCACTTTTTTGTTAGTTCACTTTTATTCACATATAGCAAATTGAACGAAATACTATGGAGCGAGTAGTGTTGCTCTCTTCAGTCATTCCAGCAAATTCACTTCCCTATCTTTCCAATTTTTCATGCAAGACAGTATTCTAGTCGTCCAATAGTAGCAAGAGATGTGTTCTCCGAGTAGAAATGTCGAATTCTGCAGTGAAGAATAAACATGCTTTGTAACTCCAACCTATCACAAACGCCAGCTTTGGTCATTTGCGTCATAGAAATCAATGAACCATTCGTTGGGAATAGAATTCAAAACATGAAAATGCGGCTGTTCTCAAGAAGTATTTGCAGAAGCAATCTCTCAGCTTAAATTGGTGTTGGATAAAGGTTAAAAGTTAAAGCGGGGTAAGTAAGCTAATTGAGACAGGCGAAACAAAGGACCCGCATGGTGTGGTGGTGAACGCGTTACTCCCCGGAAAGGACAATAGCGCGTTCGTTCTCCACTATAGACACCTGCGCTCCAGAGTTTTGCAAATATCTCAGCAACGTTGTGGTTGTATTAAGCTAATAAGCTTTGTTATTTCTCCAACTATGGCAACGGACGCATTAAAGGAAATGCCTTACAATATAAGACCGCTGAGCATTTCTGTTATGAGCAGTTGCCAGCTTTTGTCCTTGTTGTCATTTTCATATCACACCTTCGTAGGAACAATTTGACTGGAGAGTAGGTGTTTGCTTTTCAGACGGTTGAGTTGTCACTTCTAGCTGGGATTTTATCAACAATTCCTGATCTAAAGAAATACAAATTGTTTGGCTGCGTTTATCCGGCTGTCAATGAAAATGCGGCTAGGTATACTTGCCCTCGCATTCTTCCAAACAAAATCATCGTTTCCCGATTTATACTCAAGGCTTTTAACCTCTAGTGAATTGGATTCAATCGTTTAAGATTTCGCTAACTTAAGATTCTTGATAGCGAATTCTATTTAATTCAATCCTCCCAACGGTTTACCGCCTCATCGTGGATGGGAGGTGTTCCTGGGTGTCCGACTGCGATGTACAGCGGGAGATTCATTCCGCTGACAGAGTCTCCCAAGCTGAGAAGGAGTCTGGCGTTTCCATAAGTAATCCCATCTAGGAGTAAACCAATACCAGGATCCACCACAGCCCTTGTATCAAGGTCCCTCTGGTAAATCTCACTCTGACCCACAAAGGCTGCGACTGCCTGTGGTGGTGAAGACCTGGAGCAGACTTTGGCCAGGCTGACCTCGGGACTCCAGGGAACCATAATGGCTTAACCAGCAAATCTCCGAGAAATGGAGAATATGTTGGAGAACGCACCACAACCAGTAAGGATGGGCTATTCAAGTATCAAATAAGTAAGTATTTATCTCAATCTATCTAAGCTTATTGTGTATTCACTTGAATAATGCCTGCATGCTAGTCTAGAAAGAAGGAATTTCTGTGGTCCCGAATATTTTGGAAGCTAAAGCGTTTCGTAACAATTCCACCGATCATCTGATTTTCACGCACTTTGTTTCAGGTCTTTTCGTGATTTCAGGCTCTTCCAGTCAATCGGTGGAACTCAAGTGAAAATCGTTCCATTCACTCAGCGTCAATTCACAAAGAAAGTGTTCTCAACCAACAAGAGCAAAGTGTTCGCAACTACAGATGGCGGCTGTGGTTTTGTATAAATTTTTAAAATTTCGGTATATATTTAGCAGAAAAACTTCGAGGGAAAGCACCTTGACGTGAGGTGGTTTGTGGAAAACACTGACTCGTTTCGAAGTTTAATGTATAAAGGATGAAATCGTTGGACATTGATCTTTTGCTTGAATGTGTGACACACATTCAGCTGCAGTCGTATCATCACAGAAGTGAGTGAGTCCTGCTCTTCTTCAGTTACGTGTGGATTCTACTGATGTATCAAGTTGGTGTTTTCTTCCTTCAAATTAGTCTGGTACTATTTCACCAACTCCAGAGGGATGGATGGCCCGAAGTCACCGATCGTATGGACCATGTGTATAGTGCAGAACACTTTTAACCTCTACGTTAAACGTGGTTTCATATAAGGAACGAGTAATAGTTTAAAAAAAATGGTTAAAATGGAGGTTGCATCTACAAGCAAGTGAGATTCCATGTAGAAGTTTGTTGAATGAATTGTTTGACGCAGCTGTGATGCTTTCTGTGTGCAGACGTGTAGACAAACATAAACATCGCTATCTTGAAGCTGTGTAATCGAAAATCTACCCTGCTTTGCCCACGATTTTGGCTAAATTACACAAAATCCGTCGCCATGTTAAGTCACAACAGCTGTACTTTTGTAACAACCGCCTTGAATACAACGATTGCTCTCTTCAAGTATTGTCTCATTAGGAATCTATCGGTGGTAGCGGATCAGGTTTTATTGCTTGAAAACAGTAAAGCAACGTAACCAATAAGCGATATATTTATGGCTGATTGAAAACAGTGAAACGTGGTTGCACCATTTTAAAAACTGCACAGTCCAATTTAAGCCACTAGTTCACCGTTTTATGGTGACCATTCTGTGTTCTCGGATGTTAAACTGCACGGATTTATCTCTGAAGCAGCAGTTCATTCCTCTAGCATGACCTCAAACCTGGGAACGAGTTTGACATTTCCATGACTTATGTCGCGGCTGAAAGCGATAAGGTAGCCATGGCTACTCTTACGGAAAGACCACCCATGGAACTCTTCCGATGTTTAGACGTTTCGCAGTTTAAAATATGGTCGTCGACAAAAAAAATTGCGCGAAAAAGAACTTGTGGGACTCAGTAAATCGCAGTTTTACCCTGATAGATTAACAAAAGATGTTGCTTCCAATAATAACGATCTGCTCATGTCAATGGATCTTGTCCCAGTCAATAAAGTTCGCTATGAGTTAAAATATGTTTATTCGAAGCTAGAAAATAATTTTATGAACACGTACGTGCTGAAATCAATGGGTATCGTTTCGAATGTGTTAATCTATGCCTGGAAAGCAATATGAGTAGCAGTAGCTATCTAAGCAGTGTCCAGCATGCTTTTGCGAGAATAAAGAATTCTAAGCGTGCGTGTAGCGCAGTGGTCGGAGGCGCCCTGCAACACACTCGTGGATTAGATCCCCGCTCCGATGGCCCACCAAGCCTTCCATTTTTTCGGATTCGGCAAATTGCTACCAGACTTGTCTGGGAGGATAGGAGCACTGGCTCGATACATCTGTAGGCCAGGCCTCGGCGAATCATTGTAAAAGCCAAATATGCATTCAGTCACCTACAAACGATGTTTAATGAAGTCGAATGCATGGAGCACCCCTCAGAGATTGATCAACACTGAGAGCTTTATCATTTTTAAATCACTCTAGGTATGATAACAAGTCATGCTTAACGATTTATTCAATTTAGGGAACTTTAAAAGAGACACGGTATTATTTAGCTGCAAAACTTGCACGTGCATTCGCTGTTGATGCAGGCGGAGAAACTGCAGCCCTGAAAAAGAAATGAGTAGTGATGGAAGAATTTCAATATCTAGCAAACTGATAAGAAAAGTGGGAAATAGAATAAGTTGCGAACTTTGGGATCTATAGTATTCCACGAAGGATTCTGTGGGCTAACACACCATGGAAACTTCACATGCGAACAATGTGGAATCAACAACGAAAGAGAGTTAATGGATGAATTAACAAGGAAATAAAACTCAGTACTCTGAAAATTTCTACTTTTTAGACCCCTGTTTATAACGTTCGCTTCGTATGAACTTGCGCAACCCCTTATTTGGACTTTAGCTACAGTATGACTGCGTATGATTTCACATTATATGCTTTGCTTGCTCAAAATGTTAGATTACGGGTCCTTGCATATTACATGTCTTGAAAATTTCTTTCATTCGTTTTGGTCTCTTGTAACCGTCATTCCCGTTCCGCGCGCTTACTCAGCCATAACTGTAAAATCTGTTATCTTCTCTCCACTGATCACTGCTGGAGTCCCATTAGAGGCGTTTTGAAGGAATTCCTAAATATTCACTAAGAACGGTCACCAGCCCTTGTTGATGTGAAGAAGACTTGCTTCCTGCCGACTCAAATTCTTCCTGCACAGCAGCGCATCCAACAACTTCAACGAACCTTGCAGTTACTAGGCGCACCGTTCGAAGAGGATTGAACTAAGCCAGCTTTACTCTATATGTCTATTTCTTCTTCAACATTAGTTTATTATAAATGTTTTAACAAATTGGAACGATTGGAATCAATCATCATACCTTGCATACAACCTGCTTGCAAAGAAAATCACCAAAGAAACATGAAAAACCGGCCGTTGTCAGCGAAATAATAGCCAGGACAATGATGAGGCACAACTGAAGTCTCGTGAACATTCTGAAAACAACATATTTGATACTGCAGACTTACGGCGAAAACAGGCAATACGTATAACGGGCACGTGCAACATCATGTTTCAGGAAGCTTTGAAAGAGGAACGATGATCAGCAGGTTTTGGCAACACGACAGGGCTGGGTGATGAACGTCCATAGATTTCGAAATGATAGAAGCAATTGAATCGGCATGAGCCACATGATTAACAAATCTCCTTTAAATAAAATGTTTTAAAGAAAGTCTCTAAAAGGAATAGAATGTTTGGAACGGTTAGAGAGGATCCGATAGAGGGCAATGGAAGATGAAGGGCTACACTGCCAGTGCTGATGAACACGTGTGACAGCCGCTGACGGGATACCACTACCACTGACGCCTGCTCACAATCGCAACACATTACACATCCTTTTTACTACAGGGATGAAAATTAAGCGCTAACTTCACCCAGTTGGAGAACTTCCAATTTTCTTTCAACCTAACCAAGTTAGGTAACAAAACAAAGTTAGGTAAAATTTCTGCTACGTGGATAATTGCTTTGAGTATCAGCCTTATACTTAGAGTAGTCTTCAATCATTCAGAACGCGGCGAGAGTGGCTCGTCAGTGGATGTGTAGGCGTTCTGTAGTTCAACTAGAAGGTAATTGACGTCAAGCAGCTGTCCTCACAAATAGACGCGATATGTTAACAAAGAGAGAAATTAGAACAAAGCGGATAAACTTGGAAAATAAAAGTGGTAGAGGAACTGTAAAAAAGGATAAAGGATAAAGCTCTGAGGGATGCGCCATACATTCAACCTCATTAAGCATCGCTTAGAGGCGATTGAATGCATATCTTGCCTTTACAATGACTCTCGCCGGCCTCCTGATGTACGAGACAATGTTACTACCCTCCTAGATAAGTCTGGAACCAATTTGCCGACCACAGAGGGATATATGGCTTGGTGAGCCTTGGGCATGGTGAACGATTCCACATGTGCACTGCAGGGTGCTTCCGACCACTGCGCCACATGCGTCGTTGTAGAGGAAATATATGGATGAGAACTGAGCTGCCTGCTTATAATTCATTAATATGGTGTATCTAAGGATGAAGTCAAGCATCAAATGAACGATGGTGGATGCTTTGAAGACTAAATTTTGGTTGAACACCCAGTGACCTCGTCACGAGGCAGTCCGGAATCAACAGCTGTTCGTCGGGTTGAGGTCTCAACCCTTCACACATGCAATTAATAAATCAATAACAAAGTTAGTAGTCAGAGATAGTGGAAAGGCTTAACCTAGACATGAAATAGGAGAGCTCAACAAGAAGTGAAGTATGAAATGAGACTGAGATCGAATAGCTTTATACTGATCTTTATATACTTTATCATTATATTATCATGAAATGAGACTGAGATCGAATAGCTTTATACTGATCTTTATATACTTTATCATTATATTATCTTTATAGTCTTTATATACTGCTTTAGAGTGGGTAGCACACGTGTCTCACATGGTCGGATGGACTATCTGAAAAAATTACCAAATTAATGTAGCAAATGATATTGAGATGCTTATGGCAAGCAAGGATTGCTAGAAGTGGAGATCGGTGATAGTTATGAAACCAATCATTGTGGTCACTGGCAGATCAAAGTGGGCGAAGGAATTTTTGAAAAACTTCGAGGTATTATATTCATCTGGGATTATAGCGATATTCAACCAATAGAAATGGAATTGTTGTTATGGCCTTCAATGTCAAACATACTTGATAGTTGGTACTTGAACGGCCCGGTTTCACTAGTTGCGCGGGCCACAGCATAATCACCACTTTTCGGAGATCTGCTGGTTAAAACATTGTGGCTCCCTGGAATCCAGAGGTGAGCCTGGCCAAAGTTTGCCGCAGACTTTAACCACCACAGGCAGTCACAGCCCTTGTGGATCAGAAAGAGATTTGCCACCATGCTACTTTGATAGCAGGACGTTGGTGGATCCTAGTATTGGTTTACTTTTAGCTAGGCTTCCTAATGGAAACGGTGGCAATGTTAAACATAGGCAAGTCATTTCTGTCATCATAACCAAATCATTCAAAACAATGCAAAAAGCGTTTTTTGGGTCTTAAGAACTGGCCTTCCTAGCTATTTCTTGCCAGCTGGATGTTGAGATAACAGAGGAACATCTTAGTGATGCTACGCTCTATCGCCCCTGCTCTGAAAAGGAATATAAAAGTCAATATCGAAAGCTAAACAATCAATGGGTCAGCGTGACAAATGCTGCAGGTTTAAAATCACCTGTTGCTCGGCACTTTAAAATCGATAAACCAGCATGTCCCGTCCTATACCGGCTTATTAAAACACATAAGTTGACATCATCTGACGATCTTGCGTCAACCAATCCGTCATTGTTTAACGTTAGACCCATCTTCAACTGTGTAGAAGGGCCAACGGATAGAATAACCTGGTTTCTAAATCTAATACTCACCCACTTTCTTAACTACATTCCAGCTCGCCTCACAAACACCCAAATGTTCCTAGAACGTCTACGTAACGCGTCTCCTAATAACGTGTACGTGATGGAGTCTTTCGACGTTACCGCACTGTACACCAACGTGTCGAGTGACTCCGCAATGTAAGCCATCTTCGAACTTCTTGTTGAACATGAAGGAAGAATAAATATGCATGCCTCATCCATCCAGCAGCTAATGGCTCTCTTAAAGGAGTGCCTAAACTGCTCGATTTGGAAATATTTCGCGCAAATAAGGGGTTGGCAATGGGTCAGCAACTGGCACTAAGCCTTGCTATTGTTCCCAGGATCGACTTTCGGCATTGGAATATAAATGCGTCGTTTCCTCGTTCAGCAATCGCGAAGTTGTTAAACAGCATACATTTTCTTCTATAGTAAAACACAATACAACACAACAGTAGGTGATATTTCGGCAGTATAGCTTTCTTCAGAGCCTGGAAGGGTATGCTGATATACAATCTACTAGGTCAAACGCTTTAATAACACTTACAAAAGGACGAAAAACTCTATGGTAATTATGTTCGTATTTTTTTGAGCAAACGCGAGGTGTTATTGTTCTTTGTTCACGGTTAAGCTGACGTTTCGGCGAATTTCGCCTTCTTCAGAGCCTGGAAAGGTCAAGTTGATAGCAACTCACTCGGCCAGACGCGACGCGACGCCAGACGCGCTATGGTAATTACATGATCAACAGCTTCTCGAAAAACTTACCACTTTTTACGTGACTTCCAATGAGGTAGATTAGAACAGCTGATTATAGTCGCGGATGGTTACACCATCCCAAATCAAAAATTGATGCGAACATACGGGGTCAGGTCGCGTGTGACCTCAGGGCATTCATCCCTGATATTCAATGTAGGGTTTTTGGCATTTTTCCAAAAAGCCTCAAGGAGTTTTCGCGCTGATGTTTTGGATTCCTGTACAAGGATATCGACTTTTACTTCAAAATCGTCTCCGCTATGCTTTTGTATCCTATGCGTGCCTAGTGGGGTGCTTCGTCTTAGTTTTCGTTTGCCATCTAGGTGTTTTTTTATACGGATACGCAAAGGTCTGCCCGTTTCGCCAATATATTCATCTCCGCAATTATTACAATGGATCAGGTATATCGTACCTGAACTCATGCAATCACCGTCCCTGCTGCAAGGGCAAATTACGCAATTTGTTGTTTCACATTTCACTGACGGTCATACAGGCGGTTACGAGCTAGCTTACGACGTGGAATAGCCTGTAGTATTTCAACTATCGCTACCTGTCCTTAGATGTGTGTTTAGACCTGTGTTTAGACCTGTCCTTCTTAAGCATCGTTTAATAGCTACGCTTACTTCATCGCTTATAAAAGGCAACATAAACGGGACTTTCTTCTGGCCAAGTGTTTCGCGTGGGCGCTCCTTCTAAATTTATCTCGTGGGGTTACTATTCGTAGCCATTAGAGATGGCTATTTGCCGAGCCAAGTCGCGCGATTCTTCCTTTAGTGCCCTTTTGGTGCACACTGAGCTGGCTGTTCGAAACATGTTTCTCACAATCGTCCTCTTTGTATGTGAAAGGTGGGAAGAAAGGAAATGAACGAGGATATTCTTGTTACTTGGCTTTCGGTACCACTTTGTCAAGTAACCGCTACTTGATAGGTTCATTTGAACGTTCAAAAACGGGAGCCAATTTTTCTCGGTTTCTCCCGGGTGAACTTTATGTACTCTGACTGCTCGTTCAATAATTCAAAGCATTTGTCCATCTCCTCTTGCGTAGAGAAGACGATAAAACAATCAACTACATATCTGCAGTAGAGTAGTAGCCGGAGATCGAGAACAGGGGCTTCTATCATAGACAGAAACACAATGGTAAGGTTTGATGCCAGCCCTGTCTCATTGCTAACCCCTTATTTGCGCGAAATATTTCCAAATCGAGCAGTTTGGGCACTCCTTTATGAGAGCCATTAGATGCTGGATGGACAAGCCATGCATATTTATTCTTCCTTCATGTTCAACAAGGAGTTCGAAGATGGCTTACATTGCGGTGTCACTCGACACGTTGGTGTACAGTGCGATAACGTCGAAAGACTCTGTCACGTACGAGTTATTGGGAGACGCGTTACGTAGACGTTCTAGGAACACTTGTGTGTTTGTAAGGCGAGCTGGAATGTAGTTAAGAAACTGGGTGAGTATTAGATTTAGAAACCAGGTTATTCTAACCGTTGGTCCTTCTACACAGTTGAAGATGGGTCTAACGTTAAACAATGACGGATTGGTTGACGCAAAATCGTCAGGTGATAACAACTTATGTGTTTTAATAAGTAGGTATAGGACGGGACATGTTGGTTTGTCGATTTTGAAGTGCGAAATAACCGGTGATCTTAACCCATTTGCCACATTGACCCATTAACATCTTAGTGGTGCTACCCTCTTTCGCCCTTCCTCTGGAAAGGAATTTAGAAGTCAATATCGAAAGCTAAACAATCAATGGGTCAGTGTGGCGAAGGTGATGGGATTTCAATCTCATAATGGTCAATGGCAATGGCAATGGCGATTGTTAGTGTGCCGGGGGATTGAATTGTCGAGATTCTGGTATTGCAGGACACCTTTCCTTGGATACCCGGACTGCCCTTCTTCACTGTTTCTACGGGTCCCGGCACAATCTCCAATTTTTCGGTGTTTTGCTGGTCTAGCCATTGTGGTTCTCTGGAGTCCCGAGGTCAGTCTACCCAAAGTCTGCTCCAGGTCGTCACCATCACAGGCAAGCTCCGCTCTTCTGAATCAGAAGGAGATTTGCCACAATGCGACTAGTTTGATGCCAGGACGGTGACGAATCCTGGAATCTGCTTACTCCTGGCTGGGTTTCCTGATCGAGACGCCGATTCCCTTCTAAGCTTGGGAGACCCTGCCACTGGGATGAATCCCCCAGCTGTACATCG